AATTCCCACGTATATATGTGATGTGGATCTGCTGTACGCACTGCCATCTATTGACGAATAGCATTTTTTCGAATTTTTGACTTAACACTTAATACTTAAACTTTTTTTAATTTTTTTCTTAGCCACAACCATCTCCCAGACGTGGTGATTCTGAATATATCTTCAGTTAGCGCGATTGAGTGACAAATCAGGGCGAAAAGCGCGAACAAACAAACACACACACACACACACAAGATTAGCCAAATTATAGTATAGATAGATACGCACGTGCGCGTGCGTGCGTACGTGTGTGTATATATTGTGGCATTTCTATGTTCTACACCGACATCCCGCGGTCGGACAATTGCGTTACAATGTAATTTCATTGCAGTAGATTCAAATTTCTCCTGTACGCGCACATTACTGTCGCTACAAACTGCACTACAGCACTTGACACGCAGTCCGATGTCCCTTGGAGATAGTGCTCGGTCCTTCAACATTCAATGCTACCATCGACCGACTCCATAAGACGTTGTCGGCGTCAACGTCTGAAGTATACATTTTCGCGACACCCGGAGCAGTCCCGCTTCGCTTTGGGTTAGGGCGATGTCTACGTTACGAACGTTTACGAAAATTCGTCGACATCAAGAAAGATTTTACACGAAGGCGGGGGTTGCATTTGTTCGCAATCAAGGGACGCCTTGTTGCCGTAACGTACTTGGCATGTCACGTTCGATCGTTGATCGGCCGAGAAATTTCGTTATCGGAGAGTAGAAGTTGAAATGCTCGTCGCGATGGAGTTATAGGAATTTTCGGGATTTTACTGGCAGCGTTATTGTGGTAATACGTATAGCAGCGGGTCCTAATCTAGTATATATATATATATATATATATATATATAATCTAATCTAGAAACAGCGCGGAAACAACTTGGGTGGGGTGAGTGGCACGTGGCGCCATCTACCAGCTGAGGGTTCGGCACGATGTAAGTACCCCTGTTTATTGATGTTGACCCTAAAAATGGCGAGTGTAGAAATTTTTGGGTTATTCCTTTACGCTTGCAACGGGTTCCTACTGACCGGGTTTTTTTGTATTAGCGGAGGAAAGGGTGTTGACTCTTAGATGATATCCTATCGCGCGTCCGTCCCTTGTTGGCGGCAGTCATGGAGAAACGATTACCAATTGGATGCGATCACAATTATCATGCGCTCAATGCAATTACAATTACTTCTCTCTACTAATACCTACAAAATACTCTCTATCTATCTCTCTCTCTCTCTCTCTCTCTCTCTCTCTCTCTCTCTCTCTCTCTCT